GAGGTCTCGTCCTCTTTGTGCTCCCCGATCACCCAGGAGCCCTGCCCTGAGTCTGGCAGGGTCGGTCCGAGTGGCTGGGGGAGGTAGGGGGGTTTGGGGGCTTGGGCCCTCCCTCACTCCGAGCCCCGACCCAGGGCCCTAAGGTCTGGGGGGGATACGCCGATCCCCTCAGTCCTGGTTGGTGAGGGACGGAACCCCCTAAAAACACCAACCCCCCGGGTTGCAACACCCTGCCATGGGTCACTTCCTACCTCCCTCGCTGTGCCGCCATGACGACTGGGTCCCGAGGGTCTGCGCAGACGGGGTCCGAGGTGCCTCTGTACGGGCGTCCTCCTTCCGGCTGCACGCCTTCCCTCCCTGTGCTCTGGCGGAGGCACTTCTTTTAAGCGTCGCGCTGCAATGACATCCTCCATAGCGGGGTTGCAACACCCTGCCATGGGTCACTTCCTACCTCCCTCGCTGTGCCGCCATGACGACTGGGTCCCGAGGGTCTGCGCAGACGGGGTCCGAGGTGCCTCTGTACGGGCGTCCTCCTTCCGGCTGCACGCCTTCCCTCCCTGTGCTCTGGCGGAGGCACTTCTTTTAAGCGTCGCGCTGCAATGACATCCTCCATAGCGGGATGGGAATGCCCCCTCCACTGGGGATGGTCGCCCTGCCGGGGCGCCTGCGCGGGTCGGCGCCCGGCCCCGCGGCTTCCCGGCTCCCACCGGGGCCGTGCATGCTCAGGTGCTCTGTGCCCGTCCGCGCCCCTGGCCCCTCTCTGGAGCATGGTGGAACAAGCCATGCAGGGCCAGAGCCGGTGCGGAGCCGCCGCTTCTCCCCAGCATGCCGGGGATGGCGCCCGGTTAGTGCGGGGCACGGGGGCTGCCCCGTCACACTCCCACTCAGGAATAAGCCCTCTTGCGCAACTGTTCTTGCTCAAGAGGCAGGTGTAGACAGGCAACATGAATTTCTTGCACAAGAAAGTCCTATGGTTAAAATGGCCATCAGAGTTTTCTTGCGCAAGAAAGCGTCTACACTGGCATGGATGCTCTTGCGCAAAAGCACATGCCAGTGTAGACGCTCTCTTCTGGAAGCGTTTTTGCACAAGAACTCTTCTGCAAAAGAGATTTTGCGCAAGATCATGCCAGTGTAGACGTAGCCTCATAGTCCAAGCTGATAGGTCAAGTCCCCTTGCACGTTTTCTTTTCAGTGATATGAACAGTGCTTAAGTGACAATGAAAGAGATGCCAGGGCTTAAGCCCTGGCACAAATGTAGCATGATGCATCCCTTTTTCCCATACATCTATCCCTGCCTTTCCTCCATCCCACACACACACTTATACCCACCTGTCTCCCATGGACCTCCCTGACCTATCCCCATCACAAACACCCACACAAAACATACTCCCACACCCTGCACATGTCCTGGGAGGCTTGTGCCTTAGTTTCCAAATGGGACATGGGGGAGTATTGCTGCCCCTCCCCCCACTCCCATTGTTCTCTCAATGGGGAAGTGTCAATTTTCCATCTTACCCAATCCATCACTTCTGTACAAAAGGACTGTGGTCCTGACCATCTGAACCTGGATTACTCTGCTCTTGACTTGAATCAGGGCACAGAGCCAACTGACATCCCCTGGTGGGGAAAATTACTCCAAACGTCATGCAAGGGGATTCGGGATCAGGCCCAGCTCTCCCCTTCTCCTTGTGAGGGTCCTGACAGGGCAACATCCCACTGCTAGGGATTGCAGCAGCCAGGATCATAGGCAGCATGGGGGTCAGTGCCCTCTGGCCAAAGTGCAGAACTGCCTCCCTTCCTGGTCAACTTGCGTCCCGCCTGCTCCAATTGTTCCAGGTGCCTGCTCTGCCTCCACTGGCAGGGCCTTGCCAACATTTGTCAGGGCTGCCTCTCCACGCTTCCTCCTGCCCTGGTGCCCAGCTCCCCCTGCCATGCACTGTGCCCCAATTGGATGATCATTTCCCAGTTCCTGATGCCTCATCTCTTTCCTCTCTGCCAACTCTGGGGAATCTCTGCCTCTCCTGGGCCTCTCAAAGTGCTGTGCCCGCCTCACGGGAGCCCCACCCCCTCAGAAAGCTGGAAGGGGACACTGGTGGAAGTGCTGCTAGGGGCTGTTGTTGCCAGCCCCAAAAGAATTGCCTCCTAGGACATGGGTTCTCAGCTTCCTCCAACTTAGCTGCAGTGACACTTGCTGGGCATCAGGAAGGTTCAGTGTGCTACTGGCCTGGTGCTGGGACTTTTGGGCAAAGTGGCTGCTGCCCCAGTGACTAAGATGGGAGGGATTGCAAGCGGGTATAGGGTTATAATTCAACATGATCTGGGCAAATTGGAGAAATGGTCTGAGGTAAATACGGTGAAGTTCAATAAGGACAAATGCAAAGTACTCCACTTAGGGAGGAACAATCAGTTTCACACATACAAAACGGGAAGTGTCTCTGTAGGAAAGAATACTGCAGAAAAGGATCTAGGGTAATTTTTTTGTTTTGGTAAATATGTAACCACTGAAATTTTCAGCAGTTACATGTTTACACCTGGGGAGAGGACAGCTCTCTGTGAGCACTGGCTCTCACAGAGCAGCCTGCCATGCTACTGCCTCTGATACATACGGGGAGCGCTCACTGGCTCCTCCCTACTCCCTCTGATACATTTAACCATGTACATGATCACATTCCTATTCTAGGGGTCCACAAACTAAATATGAGTCAACAATGTGACACTGTTTCAAAAAAAGCAAACATCATTCTGGGATGCATTAACAGGAGTTTTGTGAGTGAGACAAGAGAAGTTATTCTGCACAGATTAAGCCTCAACTGGAGTATTGTGTCCAGTTCTGGGCACCACATTTCAGGAAAGATGTGGAGAAATTGGAGAAGGTCTAAAGAAGAGCAATGAAAACGATTAAAGGTCTAGAAAACATGACCTATGAGGGAAGACTGAAAGAATTGGCTTTGTTTAGTCTGGAAAAGAGAAGACTGAGAGAGGACAAGATTAACAGCTTTCAAGTACCTAAAAGGATATTACGAAGAGAAGAGAGAGAAATTATTCTCCTCAACCTCTGATGACAGGACAAGAAGCAATGGGTTTAAATTGCAACGAGGTTGGAAAAATTTCTTGTCAGGGTGGTTAAGCACTGGAACAGATTGTCTAGGGCGGTTGTGGAATCTCCATCACTGGAGATATTTAAGAGCAGGTTAGACAGACACCTGTCAGGGATGATCTGGATGATGCTTGATCCCGCCACAAGGGCAGGCAACTGGACTTGATGACTTCTTGAGGTCCCTTCCTGTTCTAAGTGTTCTATAATTCTATGAATCTCCTGCTGTCCATTCTGGGACCTGTAACCAATGCAGTAAACCTAGAGGCACCATGGCGCAGCACAAACTGAACACTGCCCAGAGGTGTTGGACCTATATCCTGCTGAGCCCAGAGATGCCAGTGCTCAGCACTGGCAAGCCCAAGTATAGATTAACCACTGGATGTGAAGGGAGAAATCAACAAAATCTTTTGTCTTCTGATGTTACATAATGGTTTCTCTGGAGTCTATGGACTTACTTTTGTTGGGTAAGTGGTAACTCCTCCTATGATAAACTAGCATTCCACACTTGGTAATGCTTTTCTCCTGTCTGTGGGAGTTCACCATTTCAAAGCAAACACTTCTACAATCATAAAGAAAATACTTAAATATTACTTTGTAACATAGGATGTAGATATTATCAGTGATATAACTGCATGAAACAACTTACAAACATTTCATAAAGTCTAAAAATCTCTATTAACCTAATACATACTTTGACAGTATTAACATACATGTGAGCCAGACTGGTTTCCAGTAGGGATGTTAGATAGTGTGTAATTGAATAGTCATATAACCACATCAAATTTTAGCAGTTACATGACTATTTGATAGTTCCTGGAGGTGGGGCTGGCAGCCAATGTGCTCCTGAACCCACTCCCAGGGAGCCCCCTGCTACCCCGTGCTGCTGTGGCAGCAGTGAGGGGTAGCAGGCAGGAGCCGGTCTGTGAGGGGAGCCAGTTTAAAAACAAGCTCCCTGTGCAGACCAGCTCCTACCTGCTGCTGTCTCTCGTACAGAGGCAGAAGCATGGGGTGGCAGCAGCCCCTGTCCACAAGGGGCCCACGCTCCCTGAGGACAGAGGCTGCTCCACAGCAGCAGCCCATCTGTGGTAGGGTCTGAGCTCCCCACAGACAGAGGCTGCTCCATGGCAGCCTCTCTTCCCCCTCCCTCCACTGCTGCTCTGGTAGAAGCAGCAGTGGTGGGGAGGGGAGGCAGGAGGCTCTGTGGAGTTGGTGCTCGGGGGCACCAGCTTTTAAGCTTGTTCCCCCCAGCATTGACTTCTGCCTGCCCCACCCCTCGCCCACTGCCTCTGTAGGAGGCAGCAAGGGATGGGGGGAGGTGGTTCTGCAGAGCCAGCACAAGCGGACTGCCAACTTAAAATCTGGCTCTCCACGCGTATTGGCTCCTGCCTGCCCCCCTCATCCTCTGTGCTGCTGCCTCTCTAACAGAGGTAGCAGTACAGGGGTGGAGAGCAGATCCGGCACTCATGGGGAGCCAGTTTAAAAGCCAGTTTCCCAATGGTACCAGCTCCCCTCCCACTTGCTGCCTCTGACACAGAGGCAGCAAGGGGGGGAGGGATGCATGTAGTGGACAGGATTAACCAGTAAACCCAGGTTTATTGGTTAATCGTGTAATCATCTACACTTTGACATCTCTAGTTTCCAGCTCTGCATTTGTCAGTATTCAGTTGAATCCTAGGAGCCTTGACATAAGCTGGCACCTGATCTGCCATTGTCACAGTACCCAAAGATTATTTTACTATACTTGTAGTAATTCTATTTCTCATTAGAGCCACAAGTCAACAGGTAATGGAAGTTTAGGTATCCAAAAACATCTCATTAGCTTTGAAAAGCTACAAGGAAGCCACAACACTTGTTCCTGGAGTCATCCAAACATGGCAATTTATGAAGTGACAGACCAGAAAAAATGCTAACAGCCTTAGAGCTAAATCTTTGTACTAATTGGCACTACTTTCAAGATGTGAGGCTGAGTAATTCAGTGTTGCTAACTCTTCTGCTTTTAATCAAGAGTCTTTCAGTATTTGGGCTAGTGCTTAATGTTCCAGCTACTGAAGTCAAGATATCAGATGAGAATCTAAGCTTTCATGAAAAGAAACGTGATCTTCATGATTATGGAGAAAAGCTTGAAACAGTGATCTATTGCACCTTTAATTACCTGCACATCCCATTTGATTGGTCAACTATTTAATTGGTTAACTGGTTAAATCATTTAAACTCTATGGCTGCGTCTAGACTGGCAAGTTTTTCCACAAAAGCAGCTGCTTTTGCGGAAAAACTTGCCAGCTGTCTACACTGGCCACTTGAATTTCTGCAAGAACACTGACTTCCTACTGTCTGAAATCAGTGGTTCTTGCGGAAATGCTATACTGCTCCCGTTCGGGCAAAAGCCCTCTTGCGCAAATGCTTTTGCGCAAAAGGGCCAGTGTAGACAACGCGTTATTGTTTTGCGCAAAAAAGCCCCAATCGCGAAAATGGCGATCGGGGCTTTCTTGCGCAAAACCGTGTCTAGATTGGCACGGACACTTTTCCACAAAAAGCGCTTTTGCGGAAAAGCGTCCGTGCCAATCTAGACACTCTTTTCCACAAATGCTTTTAATGGAAAACTTTTCCGTTAAATGCATTTGCGGAAAATCATGCCAGTCTAGACGTAGCCAATAAGTTCAGTAGGGTTGAAATGTGCTTAAGGCTATGTCTACACTGGTGAGATCTTGCGCCAGAGCTATGCAAATGAGGCTAAGCATGGAATACCATCGCATATCTAATGAGCCATCATTTTTGCGAAAGGGGGTTTTGCACAAGGAGCTGTCTACTCTGCCTCTTCTTGCACAAGAAAAACCCTCATGCGCAATGCTGTTACACTGATTATTTTCAGGAATAACAGCATTGCGCAAGAGGGTTTTTCTTGCACAAGAAGGGGCAGTGTAGACAGCTCCTTCTTGCGCAAAACCCCCTTCCACAAAAATGGCGGCTCATTAGCTATGCAAATGAGGCTTGGCAGTATTCCACGCTTAGCCTCATTTGCATAGCTCTGGCGCAAGATCGCACCAGTGTAGACATAGCCTAAGTGTTGCAGAATAGGGTTGGACTTAAGCCCTGCTGGTAGGGCAACAGACTCTGGCCATGGGGCTTTGGGCTCCAATTCCAAGGTCTGACTAGCAGCAGGCCATGGGGCTTCAAGCTCTGTCCTCTGACCCTCACCATGGGGCATCAGGTTCTGCCCTCCTCCCCCGCCACGCAGGCTTCCCCTAGCAGTAGCACCCTGTCTGGGGCTTAATTCATTCCCAGATTTGCAGGGCTGAGTAAGTTTGCTGTGAAAATTGATTCCTATATTTAGTAATATCACTTTTCAGACTTTCTAGCTAGCAGTAAGTAAATGGATGTGTTTAAGAACATACTTATTTATTTTTCCTAAAGCTAATAAAGTATTTTAGGAAAAAACACGAGAGCAGCCACTAGTATGAGTTGATGGCCACACTCTGAGGCTACCAAATTATGTTCTGACAACCCCTAATGTAAGGTTTGCTAGCATGATGCTCCTAAGTGTGTATAGAATAGTGATAGAAATGTAGCCGTGTTAGTCTGGTGTAGCTGAAACAAAAAACAGGACTTTAAAGTGCTACATAGTCCTGTTCTAAGTGTGTATGGGGGGAGGGGTTAGGGGCATGCTTTTGAATGGCTATTAACAAGCCATTACTGGCAATGAATACTATAGTATAGCACTAGCAGCAACTGACACCATTAGCGGTGCAGGCATCTTTTGCAACAGAGAAAAAAATCGGGATAAAGAATTGGTGACAAAAGATGCATTTGCAAGGCTTATGCACATGCTCAAAGGCTTTAAAACGGCAACGCAGCCCCTCAGCGAAATGCAGCGCGGAGGGATAAGCCAGATTCCCTGCTGACCGGGACCTCATGGCTGCAAAGGGGGCACAGAGGCAGGCAGGTTCCCCAACCCCCCCCTGCCATTAGCCCCGGTGCCAGCGGGAACCCCTCCGCACGCGCTCTGGCTCGGCCAAGGGCAAACCTGGGGACGGTTGCCTCATCCCAGGCGTTTGCCGTCGCGAGCGGTCATATGACTCGCTTGTCAGCCGTCAGCGCCCCCTCTCGCGGCGAGTGGCACGTCCCGAACGTGCTTGCGCGCACGGGGGGCGGGGCAGAACCATTGCGCGAAGGGGTGGGGCGGTAGCGGCCCCATGGCCGTTGGTGGGCAGAGGTAGCTGGGAGGGAGGAGGAGGCGAGTGACAGCGGCGGGCGCGCGGCGCAGGCAGGCAGGCTGGAGACCGGGGCGATGGGCGCCCCCAAGGGA